ACAATTTGCAGTTATAATACATTATATAATTGCACACTAAATGAATACAGTAAACTGTAGAAATACAATACTTTATCTATCAAATTTAATGTTTTTCAGCTTTGATAAAAATGTAGATGCAGAACCTCCAAAAAAATTGATTTCTGAACAGTACTTATTTACTTGGCTATCCTGTTTTTAGGGCCTCGACATACGTAGTTTTTCGACAATTTCACTGCATTCAATAACCTATACGATCTCAAACCTGGTTTTGGGCATATGAATTGGAATTGTTCCAATATCTCTGGGCAATCAATTTGTCCATTGATAGTCTTATAAAAAAAAACATAAGATCCGAAATTTCTCTCCGGTTTATCAGACTGTCAATGTTGAAATCAACGAAGATGTTCTCGACGCTTAAATTATATCCTCTGTTCTGCATGTAATATGTGATGTATTTGTAGAATTTTTTCTGTATTTTTTCCACTTTATCAATAAGGAGATTTGTATATGGTGACCAAACAACTGTGCAGTATTCCAGTCTTGAAAGGACCAATGTTGAATATAACTGAATAAGTGTGCGCACATCGTTAAATTCTCTACCCGACCTCAGTATAAATCTGAGTATTCTATAGGCTTCTGATGTGATCTTGTCTACGTGTCTCAAGAAAGTCAACTTATTATTGATTATGACACCCAAATCTATCAAAGATGCGACTTCCTGAAATTGATGTTCCTCAAGTTGGTATGCCATAGGTCTTCGATGGAACGAACGAGTGACGGACATCACCACACACTTATCAATATTCAACTTTAGCGTGTTTACCCTACACCATTTGCTTAGTTCGTTAATGTCTTGTTAAAGAATGTTGACATCCTCATCATCAGTTATTTTTCAAAAATTTTCAGATCATCAGCGTATAACACATAGTCTGATTTTAGTGTATTACCGATGTCATTAATAAACATAATGAAAAGGATTGGCCCTAGGTGCAAACCTTGTGGAACACCAGAGATTACTTTATATTTAGTCGAAATATGGCCATTTACTCGAACCTGCAGTTTGGAGAGCACTTAAAAAGAACAATATAAATAAAATTTGTTATACATAATTGACTTAACATTTTATGAATACGAATTTCAAATAAAAGTTATACTTGTATTATGTGTCTGATAATAGATTTATTATTATTTTATAAATATGCTCCAGTGTTGCAGCTATTGAACATTTAAATATTTTGGTAATAAATTCATGTTTAAGAATACAGGAAATTTATATTCATTGAATGTTCTAAAAAAAACTTTCTATTTCAAAATTAATTTCCATACTGCTAGTTTCTGTTTTAAATCCGAATTTACTTGTTTTTCTACAAAAAATACAAGAACTTGTCCCTTTTTATTGGTTGTCAGAGATTATCCCTCTCTGCAACTTCAATAATCGCTAGGAAAGCACAGTAACAGAAATAACCTTTAGTAAAATATAAGAAAGGAGTGGATTGGTTTTCGATGTAAATAAAAAAAATGTTATGCCAAATATAATTCTGCAGAGCCTTCTCTGCAACTTCACATAAAGGACTAATTGTATCCAACTACATGTATATAACATTATTTTCTTAACCAACATTTGGTAACTAAAAGTTACATACCAAATTCACTTAAAAAGTCACAAATAATGAGTCTTCCCCAGGTATCAGACTAAAAGATTGGTTCATTATGAACTCAAATTAATAGATTTGAAGTTCTAACAAATCTTTTAGGACAATACCTGAATAATAAAAACGATTGTCATAATTATATTATGTAGATTTGGTATGCAATAGTTATGAACATGTCAGTATCAAAGTTCATCATTGAAAAACAATATTTAGGTAAATAGTATTTGAATTCATCAACTGAATTCTTTGAAGTGAAAGAATGTAAGAAAATTTCAGTGATATATTTTTTTTATTAGCTTCGGAGGGTAAAGGTTCAGAAAATGAATAAATAAAAAATAGATATTCTTGAGATGATAAATCTTCTAATAGGGGTCAGAAAATAATTTCATTCACTCACTATTCTTTACACACATTTTCAATTCGTTATATGTCAACAAAAACGAAACACAATTAACTTTTTTGTGAGAAAGGGAAAATTCAACTTGCCATGAGCTTGCTTGAACAATTTAACTTTTAATAATTTATATAAGTGGGATTAAATGAAATGGCAATAAATTCAATATAAATTAGTTCACAACAAACAGTAACATTGTCCAATTGTACAGCAGGAAAATTGAACAACATTCTATCTTTATATCAGAATTAAATGCTCCTAACAGCATATATGAGTAAAATGAATTGAAGCTGCAGTTTTGATTAGTAATAAACTTGAATGGTAGATTTCTTTTTCTCTAATAATTATTCTTCAACAATCATATTAATATTCTCCAATCAAGTTACGATACAAGTATTCTTTTTTTATTATATTTCTTTTGTACCTATTACTTTGTAAAGTTTTCCAGGTATTTTAACTTTGTTTACTATAATTATATACGGAAAGATGCCAACATGTAATCTGAATGTAAATAATATTACACACAATTTAAAAGAATAACTTATTAACTACATTGGAATCAATGCCATTCTGTTTTTTAAAAAAAGTGAATTGGAAAGGGGGGAAATAATTATTTAAAAAAAGGAGGATGGGAAATGTTCTTAAGGAAACACTAACATATTTGACGATTTGGAAAATCATTTGGACCTAAAGCAAAATATTTAGATGCTTATGAAATAAGTAAATTATAAAAGTTTTTTGTGAAACAAATAAAGGATTTAAAAGAATCAATTTTAAGATCTCTAGTATGTGTTTTTTGGGATTTTTAAATTATTATTCAGATTTACGGCCAAATTTTGAAATCTTCACAATTGTTTCTCAGATAGAAATAAAAAAAAGGGTTATAAATGCATTTTTGAAAGTGTTGTATTCATAAACTTACTGAACACAGTTTATTTATTTCACCAAATTCACATCTTTTTCTAATGATATTCGTTAATTTCATTTTTAAACTGTGTTCTTTCTGCAATCATTCATCTATCCTTAACCTGCATATGTGCTTTTGGTCATTAATTTAATTTTCTTGAAATGTACACCAGCATTCAAAATAATCATAATTCGAAAACAATTCGTTCATCAATGTGAATCCTCTAACTACCAATGCAGTCACACAATTCAGGAAAAAAGTCCAAAATATTCTGTTCAAACGTAACACAAAGTTCTTGCTACGTCCTTAGAGAGGCACCAAACAATAAAGTAAAAATGCTAACAATGGTGTAGAAGCAAAGTTGCCAAACATTGATTCCGTATTGAACAAAGACTAGTTAAGTTACGGTTTGGTTGCCATTATTGGTAAAAATTTAATCCATCCTTATTCCAACCTTATGCTAGAAGTAACTATTCCCAGAATAAGCATGTTATAACGAAGTTACACCCAGCTTCTATTAACAAGGCTTTATATTTAAATTAGAGAGTATTTCCACGAAGTCCACAAGGAATTAGTTATGGACAAAATGAGTTCTCTGCAGTTTTCTTGAGATTCCTCCCCATTCCCTCTAACTCACACCTCACTACCCTTATCACTATTATCTGCTCATTAGATCATTATTGGGCCTTAATGACCTCAGCAGGTTGAAGGACCTTTACCTTAATATGTAAATAAACTAGGGTAGACTACTGTAAGACTCGTATTTGCTGTACTGCTGTCTGGCGATTAGAATATCCCACTCTGCAGCACATTTTCAATATAAAATTACTATTTTTACAAGAATAAATTCACAATAATGGTCAATGAAGTCCTCTATAATGCCTGTAGATAAATTTACCTATACACTCTGTTGCTATACAGAAGAAAAAGAACCATAAAAAAACTACTCTTAAAAACACAAACTGCAATGGTAGCGTGGATTAATATTTTTTTATCACTGACAATTTTTATCCCTTATCTTTTAAAAGTATTTAAAACAGGGAGAGGGGAAGGGATATTACAACTTAGAAATCATAAAGACCGCTCTAATGTACTTAAGCCCACTAAATTAGCTAGAAAATCTTTCCCTGCTGCCTATATTGCTATCAACTGATACCTACACAGTAAGAATATCACAACATGGATTTCAATTACTGAGCAAAACAATCCTTTTGTTATTTTGAGTTGCCATAATGGTGGTAAATATGAAATGTGTATTATTTTAAACTGGACCAGTTATCTTAGGCCTTGGCTCTTTATAGTACAAGCATAATAAATACATATGCCCAATAAAAATATATGTATTTATTTATGTCAAATACGGTTAAAAACTGTGTGTGATGTGCTATGGGGAGAAGTTAATTTGAAGTTACATTTATGTCCAGAAGCAAAACAAGGGGCTCTCTCAGCATTTGCTCGAGGATTAGGGATACTGGACGAAAATCTGATTGAGATGGAGGTCATTGACCCAGAGGCTGAAGTACCATACTTGTTACAGGTTCTTCACAATTATACAATCCAAATGGTATATAATACATTAAATGCCATTGTTAAAATTAATATTACTTTCATTTTGGATCCTTGGTAAAGTCTCTAATTGTATAGAAACAGTTGTGCAGCAGAAAAGATTTTACTTGGGACTTTTGTATCGAATTTAATCGTTTAATGTCATCTGACAAGGTGTAGTAAAATAATGTACATGTATTATATGTGAATTTTTTGTAGTGAACTGTTGACACTGTCACCTCATGAATATGATTACTATGTTGAGTGTTGTAGTTATAGAAAACAGTGTTTGCTGAAAATATATTCCCACTGTTAAGTAAGTCCGTTAAAATTTAGAATACGGTACACCCTTAGAGAAGCGTGGCGGCGGGGCTTAAGCCCTAATTACTGTACGTGCTCTAATAGAAATGAATAAAACTTACGAATAGGCGATTTTCATGGTTCGCCCTTCATATGCTTTACCCCCGCTGCATTGTAACGCCAATTTACTTTCAAAGGCAAGTTTTCTCGCGTCGCTTACCCGAATCCAAGTCACAGTGAGGCTCGGGCCTTTGGCCCTCGCGTTCACTATAAACATTCTTGAGTCTATCCAACGCATAATTACCAATTCACTTTTATAAGACATCACTTTTCAAAAAAGCCTCCAGAATTCTAACTGCGTAGTATCAGCGCCAGAACGGCGCGAAGTGCTGGTTTTAACGACTTCCTTAGGTTGTACCGTATACTACATTTCAGCCAGTAAGTCATTTTTGTCAAAAACCACTGATTCATATATGAAGAGACAAGGTAATGAGACTAGATTAATAAAGAGAGGCTTACACGAATCACATGGGTGGGATTTGCTTATTATTCATACGATTTGTTTTTGTAATTCAAAGTCTAAGATAAGATTAATTTTCCCAGAATATTATGCCATATCTCAAGATGGGAATGAACATTCGCAAAATATACATAACAAGCAGTATGAAGGCTGACTAAATTTGAAAGAATTCTGAAAGCGTAGCATAAAGAACTTAATTTAGTGTTAAATTCATTTAAATAGACGTTCCGTTTAAGGCCTGACTGAATTGAAAGACCTAAAAATGTTGTGACCTTAACATCAGTCAATTGCATACCGTTCATTTTCAGTGAAGTGCAAAGCTGTTTAAATAAACCATGGAAAACTGCACTGAAACAGTTTTATTATCATTTACTGTTAATTTGTCATTATATAGTCACAAAACAACAAAATTAAACTTTTAAATGTGTAATGAATTACCATTGAAGGCTCTGCACTTTTAAATAACACAATATACAATATAGAATAAAAAAAAATAACCTGATAGCATCCAAACTTCCAATAAAGGCAGTAAATATTTCAAACAATTTTTTACCATATTGTGTTGAAAAAGGTCATGTTCATTCAGATTTGCAATATTTACACAAAAAAATTTAATTGCTAATTTAACTTTCTACAGCTATAAATACCCTTGAAATTAATTATTAAGTAATATTCATTATTTTTAACTGTTTTTTATCATTACATATAATATAGTGATCAAGGCAACCACGAAATTGTAAAAGAAATTGAAAATAACCCAAACTTTTCTCGTATATATAAAATTTTAAATGTCATTAGCAGCTACACTACCAATCAGCCACAAAATAATAAAACCTAATAAGTTTACCCCGATGTCAAATCGTCAATTCTAATACACACCTTCAGTGACTTCTAGAGCTTGAATTCTTTCTTCTGCAGCAAGTCTTACATTTTGATGTGGCGATAAAATGCCCATCAAAGTTTCATACAGAGCTTCTTTTAGTGATCTATTCACATCAATATTATGCCCATCTGGACTATGAGACATTTCTATTATCTGTAAGAAAGATGAGATTAAATACAAGAGATGGCCAAATTTAATGAGACCTCCCTCACAAGTACCAAAACCTCTTTTCATAACAAAATAAATACACTTAATTGTTTTGTTATGTTCAAGAAAAATTAATGGTGAAAAAAGATATATTATAACTTACATATCAGATAAAGAAAAAAGAAAATAATATACATTGGGAATGTACATTATGGAAATACATAATGTGAATTTATGACTATGTCTGTAGCAAATGCCCAATTTAAATAAATGATGTATAATTTTTAATTTTTTTCACAGAACTTACGTGTAAAAAAGGGTGGATTTATAGTTGTCACTCAATAACATTAATTTCTTAATGTTCACACTGTAATAAATACAGTAAAGATATTTTGTAACGAAGGTTTAAGAATTATTCATTTTCAGAAAATTATTAAATCATTCTTAACCTAGATGGAAATGTATAAAAATAATATATAAAATCAAAAGACATTATCAAGACAGTCAATAAAACTGTCTTTATACAACAAGATTGGAAATTGTGAAGCGAATATTTATCATTTTTATCAATATTAACTTGGCATCAATCAATTACTGATAACCAGAATAAGTGACAACGATTGGAACAAGCAAGGCAATTTCTTCTGGAACAGAATATATTTTTATCCACATTCTCCGAACAGCAACAATGAATTGTGAGTCAAAAAGAGTGATACACATGTCCTATCGTGGGTAAAATAATAAAACTTCAATCGAATAACAAAAACAATAAACTTACGGGTTTGTTACCACAATTCAGCAAGGAAAACTGACCACAACTAGGCGGTCAAATTGAAAAACACTCCGTACCCTCTCTGAAACTAGCAAACACTCGACCTTTCATTTAGGCGGGATCACGAATCTCCAGCGAATCTCCCAGAGCATGAGAGAACCCTAACGCTGCCTGGAACAGGAAGCCCCTGCGACCGGTTCGAAGAGTACAGAGTTGCCACCACTATCAAAAAGCGCATCTTTTTACCGCAGTATAGATGAAAAGCACCATATTTTAAGAGTCGAAAATCAACTTCGTGCGCAAAACATACTGTGAATTCAAAGCAAACAAAGAATAAAACATCTCTAGCTTTCTGATTTAGGGAAATTAAAAACCTAGGTGCATAATGTTTTTTTAATATTTTGACATAACAAGGAATTCCGTTGACCATTTTTGATTCAGTTTCGTGGGGTCTACAATGACAATTTGAAGTATTATGAAAAGGAGAAATTTATATTTTGGAACCGAGATAACTGTATTCCACACAACAGGCCACGTCACATAAATTGTGGAGTCCCACGAGAATCCAAATGACACCAATATATTTCTTATAAATCCCGGCCTGTTGGGGGGAAGGTACGCCCAAGTACATAGTCACTAAGCCTTTCGGTTTGAATTCCGCAAAAATCATGGATGTTTTTAGTTGTGTTTGTGGTATGACGTACACTCCCAGTACTTCACGGATCTCCTCTACCACTTAATGCTTCCTCGTCCTGACGTGTAAATGTGTGACATCTGTGTACGATGTGTCTGTATGCATGCTTAAGGAACTGGTTTCCTAGACTCAAAATAATCGTTCAAGCACCAAGATGAGCCCAAAGGCTATTTCTAACATAAAATGTTATGATGCAGGTTCGAAATCAGCGAAAGACGCGAAATGCGACATATTCCATCATGAAGACAGGCACTGAGAGGCAGCTATATAAAAATCGTACTATAATGGAAATAGTTTCAAGGGAAGTGGTAGTTACCGCAGGGAAATGAGCTCAGGCGTTGATAGACGGCAACCGGGAAAGGGACAGAACAAAACCGAAAGATGATAACGTATGATTCCGCGACCGAGAAACTTTGCTGTTCAGGAGGCGCCGCATCCCAAAATAGTTGCCAACGTTGCCCACCTCCTGTCCTGAGAAGACCGCTGGGGACCGAGAAGAATAATCGCGGAAAGAAGCGATGGAAATCATTAAACATCCCTAAAACGTGAACGCTGACTTGACCTGGGTCAGGACGAGGCCTGGAAATATCTGTTTTACCGCTACGCCCAGTCGCGTCACGACGCGATTCCCACTGCTTCTTGACGCCTGACCAGGGGCTGTCACCATTTCTTACCTCGCCTAGGACTGTCGCCTGATTGAATAATACTTTCTTCGTATTGGTAGATCGTCCGGCAGCCGGATAGATATTGTAACGTATTAGCCAGCGTGCCTCATGGCATCTATTTGGGGACGCTTGGAAGAGGATTAGCCTCGCCACAGGAAGAAGGGTTTTTCCGTAAAGGGAAGAACGCGGAAACGGGAGGCACAAGGCTTTGGGAGTATCCGGCCTATAGAAACTTTTCACTGTTATAACAAGCGAGGGGGTGGCGTGACGTAGTAGGTCACATGGGCCTCGCCTATATAACAGAGTGTACAGAGCCAGTGGGTGGGTTCTGGAGACAGCGGGAGAACCTCGTGCGTGTGCACAAAACTTGGTGCCACGACGGTGCATATGCGAGCCAGGCTCGCGAGGCTCGAGTCACTAGTTGACGAAGCCTGTGGACTTTATGTCCTTGGGTGACTGCGGTCACGGGGGAGCGATGCTGTGTGCGTGCTCCGAGGTGAAGAGTGGTTGAGTGCTAAGATTCACGCCGATTCTCAATCGGATAAGATCGCTCCTGCGATCGAGGCTAACCGGCCGTTGGTGCGCCAGAACTGACTTCGTGTCCCAGCGTGACATCCGGTCACGGAAGCTAGGCTTTGTGCGCGCTTCAAAAGTAGGAGTGGCGAATGCCACAATCAAAACCATCTTCAATCGGGTTTGGAATTGGATCGCTCCCGCGATCAGGGGATAGTAGGTCTATCAGAACTAGGGTGTAAGTAGATTATTAAGTGTATATATTTGTTTTGTTTTCTTTGTTAATAAATATATTGTTATACGAAAGCTCTGTGTCTGTGGTCGCTGTGAGTATCCATGACGTCACAATATAAATCCCCAGTCCACTTTCACACCACGTGACCTACATAAAAACTTAAACCGTAATGACGTAAACACTGCTCTAGAAAATCAAGGAATGCAAATACAACACATCGGCGAACTAAAAAGGATGCTCATGTCCCATAATTTCATCCTTCTAGGATTATACACCGTAGAAATAAATCACAGGCATCTCACAAAACTACCTCAAATGAATTACATTATAAACTACAGAGTGTAATTACAAGAGAACAGGGACAAAGACCGTATATCCCCATGCACTACCTGCCTAGGAACAATAAAAAAACGACTGCAGGCACCCTCTCCGATACATGGGCTGCGCAAGGTATATGTCTAAAACGTAACCATGTATATCCTACATCCCCGAATTGAGCCTTCTCAATGTTTTATGTTCTACAAGAAAGTAATTTGCTTGAAAATTAAAGATAACATAGTATTGTTAAATATTCATGTATATATATTTAGATTGATTTAGTCAAAAAACAGTAAAAACTGTATGCAACGTATAGGGGAGAAGATCATCTGCGCTCATTTTCTTGAGTTCCAGAATCCCTTCCCATCATTTTAATTATAAATAGTTGAAATATGAATAAAAGTTGAAGATAAATAAATAAAAATGAAATTTTAAAAAAGCGCGATATTAGCGACATTTGAAAACTAGACATTTTTGTTCCCGAATTATAGAAAACTTATTTACAACGATAAACGAGCTGCAGATTTTATTTTCTGCATTGCTACCAAAAT